ACCTACCGCATGGCGATCCTTTTACAAGAATTAATGACTTTATTTATTTTTATTTGTTAAGGGACATTTTTTCGGATTAATTTATATTTTTCGTTTATTTTATCTACTTTTCCGTTATTATATTTTAATTTCGTATTTACGTTCTTTTTTGTGTTCAATTTTATTCTGTTATGGTAACTGAAGAAGATCGTTAAGAAACGATCGAAAACGTTATTATATTATTAATTTTTATTAGCTGGATTATTAAAGGTGTGTTTTATTAGTAAAAAAAAATGATGCTCATTGTAAAACCAACAGAATTCATAGTAAGAATGCAATTTTTAGTAAAAAAGAACTATTTTTGATTTATTATGAATGATTTTATAAGAATAAAAATTTTTTTCAATTAAAATGCTTAAATTGCAGAAGCATTAATAAATTTTAGAATTTATTAATGCTTTTTTCTGATATGTTACTTTTAACATTTGAAATTTAAAAGAAAATGTTCATTAGTTATTTTTTATGCAAATTCATTTAATAGTGTGATATTTGCAAAATATCTTTTGATATAAAAAATAAAACTACAAGAATTTAAATTATTAAAGATCACAAGAATAAACTAATAATTAAACCAAATTAATCACTTTTTAGGGTTTAGTTTTAAATTTAATTTTTCATAATTAGATTGATATTTGCACAATGACATGTTATCCTCTTTTCCTAGTGCTTTTAAAGCTAATTATTTTAAATAAGTAGTATGGATGCTGGCTTTATAAGTAGTTTATTTTGAAGGTACTGTAAATATTTGTACTATTAATGTAAAAGAAGTTAAATTAAAAAATAAGCTGAACCTTTAATTTATCATATATGTATAAATAAAGCATACAAATTGTTCCTTTTAGCAAAATTAATTTTTATAACCAAAACTATAATGAAATAAAAATATTTGCATATTCTATAAATATTTAATTTCTAAGTAAATCAGATAATATTTTATTAATACTTGCAAAACAGAAGCTCCACAATAGATAAATTGAAGCCCAGTTTCAGCAGAATCAATACCTCCAGTAGCAAGTATTGGAAAACCAGGAAGAACTTGGGAAATGGCCGAAACTGCTCTTAAAGCTACTGGACGAATTGCATTTCCAGAAATTCCTCCATATGTTGTTCGCTTTTCTAATCCAACTGCTGGCCAAGGACTAGAATCATTTTTTAAACCCATAAGACCAGATAAAGTATTGGTTGCTGTTACTCCATCAGCTTTACCTAAAATAATTTTATCTTTTTAAATATTAAGTATAAGATAAAATATATTTTACTAATTTTTAGTTTTTATATCATTATTATTTTATAAATTGTTAAAGACGCTTGGGACAATAATTAACCTAAGATTAAAATTCTCTAATTATATAATACATCTGTTATTAATAGTTGTAAATAAATTATCACTCACATTTTTATAGTTTTAAATTAAATTTAAACAGTTTATAAAAAGAGAATGTGAAAAAAATTGTTGTTAGTAAAATTACAGAAAATACTATGCTATAATGATTATTTTTTATTACCTTCATAAGCAGCTCTTGCTATTTCTATGATATCTGTTACATTTGGAGTTAACTTTACAAAAAATGGAATTTTTACAGCTTCTCGTACCCAAAGGCTAATATCCTTAACTAATTCTGGTTTCTGTAAAATTGTATATTTTTAATAAAATATTTTTCTATTAGTATCTATATTTTTGATAAGTAAAAATATTTTTATTTCTTGAACACCAAATCCAATTATCAGAATTAATTTATTAAGCATTTAATTTCTTGAATCTTTGATCTGATTTTAATTTTGAAAATTAATGTCAGATGAAAGAAGATTGTGTTAAATAATAATTTTATAGTTAATAGTTTAATTAATCTTCTTAGTATTTTTTGAAAGCTAGAATTGATGAAAAAATAGCCATATACAAATGATGCATATTAATTACTATTAATAATCTATTTTAATTAATATTAATACTGTAATATTTAATATGCATCATATTCAAAGAAATTTACAGACTATGTCCTAAAAGTTCATAGACTAGTTTAGAAAAATATATTTATGTAATAAGAAATTTAATTTCTTGAAGAAATTATTTGAAACATATTTAATCTACAGAAATACAATTTATTTCAATGACCATAAAACTTTCCAAAGACTGCTAAAAATCCTTCTTTGAAATAGCCTGCAGAAAGTTGTTGTTTTTTAAATGTTTTAAGTTCTCTCTTTCAGTTGCAGATTCAGTATAGGAAAGGAAAAATAGTCATAAATGATAAATGAGTAAGAGATGAGTAAGAGGTGATTAATTAAAAATAATATCAATTTTGGATGTATTGTAAATGAGGACACTACCATGTGAGAGTAAACAATTGCCTTTTTCTTAATAATGTGAGTAAACTCTTCTCATTAAACACTTCAAAACTTCCTAGTTATAACAGAAAACATTAGTTAAATGAGCAATTATTTATTGTGACATCATCACAATGTCAGGCTGCAATTTTTAATCATATTTTTAATTTATTTAATTTAAAATGTATGCCTTCCACATCAAATTAGTGGTTGCTTGCCCCTGCACATCATACTTTTCCTTTAACAAGAGTTGTGCTGGGCATATATTAACTGCTTTCAGGGAAAAGTTTTGAATTGAAATAACATGACTTCTGGTAAAAACCAGAAGTTCATATATAGTTAATTGGGGCCTCCTGCCTCTAAGGATGTCATATCTGGTCTCAAATTTTATCTATCTCCATTTTTGAGATTAAGAAAAGATAGATGACAGTGGGAATTTATAGGTCTGCAATATTTTCCAATTGCAGCCCAATAATGATAATACTAGTCAACAGACTGAGTCAACGTAAAGAAGTAGCATACAAGCTCCATCTGAGCTAGCATTCATCATTACAACTGTCACTATTATAAGTATATTAAATTCAGATTATTGCATTACTAATCTGAATTTTAATATACTGAATGAAAGCATAAATTTAATATAGTGATTTAGATTACCAACAAATGAAACCAGCCTTTTAGGTCTTTGATTGATATAGTTATCCAGTAGATTTCTATCTTGAAAAATTTGTGGACAGAATATATATTTAAATATGTTTTATATTGTACAAATAAAAAATAAGTTATTTCACAAGATAACTTATTTTTGAGCCTTTTCGTAAAGGTTAATTGCAAGAAATGTTTCACATAATAAGTATTTTTGAAATTATAAAATATTATTTATCATTTAATAAATTTTTAAGAAATAAGGAATTGTATATTATAAAAATTCAATCCTAATTATATCCATGATTCATTTTTATGCATCTATTCAACTCTTCAATGGTACTTTTTCTTTTCTATCAATCATAGATATTTAACATACAAGAGTAATTGTACTAACTGAGTTAGTACAATTAAAATTTGAAATTCTTATCATCTCTTCATGAAACAAAATTGAGAAAACACCAATGGCATGCCGTCATTGGAAGCGGTGGAAGCACCGCTTCCCTTGTATTTTATAAAATATAAATATATATTAATTTTAATTATATGAAAATAATCGCACAATATTTTATTATAACCGCATTATGTATCTTATTACAAATTTCTGTACTACACGTGAAAAAAAAGATAAGATCGCTATTGTATATTCGAATATTAGTGGTGGAGTGAAAGCGCTGTATTGTCAGCATCTAAAAAGCCAGATTCGCGCATGCGCTTTATAGAGCATCAACCTCACTCGGTTTAGCTGGTGGAAGCTTTGGACCTTGGGTGGCTGCTACACGTATACCGCATCCAATTCTATCCAGGACCGGTTCTGGGCTGTTAGCAGCCTGCCCGCTAGATATTTGGCCGCCCTCACGGATTACGTGAATCACGAGTAGATTTATAACTTAATCCAACCGATAAGAATTTACTGGTATGTTTTTATGATAGTTCTATATAGTTGACAGGAGTTTTAAAAAATCCATTAAAATATTTGATATGTTTATTCCGCTCTCCGATTTTATATTACTCACGGATTTTAATGTTAAACCAGTGATATTACGATTTCGTATGTCCCATCTTTAAGGGGATGTAGAAAAAAGCGTGTACAATTCTTGTATAATGTTAAAAATTTAAATGTTACTTTGACAGCGTCATTTACAACTAAATTTAATGAATGAGAGAGATGCACGAGGTACAGATAAAGTTTTAGAATTTATTTTCCTTAAATTTACGATTTATGTATCCGTTGTCATAAAAATTTGTCTTTCCACTTTTTTCCAGAGACTACAAATATTCGAGTACAAAGTAACCGGTTTCGACTTATTTCTACGTAAGAAGTAGTTAAATAATTAAGATATTTGGGAATTAGGGACATAAATAAAACCCTGCTGAAAGAGCCAGAATATTACTTAAAAGCTTAACCGACCCAATCTCTAGCCGAGTATAATGGAGACTGATTTCTTCGTATTATTAATTTTAATGTAATAAAGACAGAAATTTTTCCAGTTCGATGAGAGTGACCAAAAAGTTGTAAATTTTGGAAATTTCTGAAGACCCTTGGTCCTAAAACGAATTAGTTAGAAAACAAATGACGATTAAGTTTAAGATTTAGATTTTTAGAGCTATGGTGAGAAACGTTTAAAATCTACAACAGACCTGTCGCGTCCTTTCAGATATACTAGTGATGCGACAAAAGAGGTATTTGACATTGACCGGTATCAACACCCTAGGGATTTGGCNATCTTTAAGGGGATGTAGAAAAAAACGTGTACAATTCTTGTATAATGTTAAAAAATTAACTGTTACTTTGACAGCATCATTTACAACTAAATTTAATGAATGAGAGAGATGCATGAGGTACAGAAAAAGTTCTAGAATTTATTTTCTTAAATTTACGATTTATCTATCCGTTGTCATAAAAATTTGTCTTTCCACTTTCCTGAGACTACAAATATTCAAGTACAAAGTAACTGGTTTCGACTTATTTCTACTTAAGAAGTAGTTAAATAATTAAGCAATTAGGAAATTGGGGACATAAACAAAACCCTGACGAAAGAACTGAAATTTTACTTAAACAAAAGCTTAACCGAACCAATCTCTAGCCGAGTACAGCGGGGACTGATTTCTTTGTAATATTACATGTAATAAAGAGAGAAATTTTTCCAGTTCAATGACAGTGACCAAAAAGTTGTAAATTTTGGGAATTTCCATGGACACTGGTCCTAAAACAAATTAGTTAGAAAACAAACGACGGACAATCTATTAAGTTTAACATATTTAGATTTTTACAGCTATGATGAGAAACGTTTAAAATATACAGTACAACAACCCTGTTACCTCCTTTTAGGTATACTAGTGATGCGACAAAAGAGGCATTTGACATCAACCGGTATTGGCACCCTCGGTATTTGGCAGCCCGCGTGCACGCACATATCAGGACCGTCTCTGATTCCATCCATTAGGTACTTGTAGGGAGCTTTTTGAATAAGTGGATTGTTTTAAGATTTAAAAAGTAAAGAATATTTTATTTTATTTTTATGTACGTTTCATTACAAACCTATATTTAATTATAATTTTCTTTAAAAGTATATTAATATAATTGAAGAATATTTTGTACCAGGTATGTACCGGTACATCCACCACACATTTTATTTCACCAAGTAAGTTTTTATTAATTTATTATTTTATAATTTTAGCCCTTATATTGTGGCTAGAGATTCGGAATGTAATTGTGATATAAAAAATACATTTAGAGAAGTCTACGGTTTTTACTGGCTTATCGAACAAATGTTATGAATGGACCCTTGACCATCACTGACGTGCAATTGACTGATTGCCCCAGAAGTCAGCTTCTTACAGAAACTCAGCTTCCCTACCATCAAATGTTACAGCATGCCACTGGAAAACACACACTGATATATCCAACATTCTATTTCTTAAATACAGTGGTGCCTTGTATAACGTATGCCTCGAATAATGGACGCTGCGAACAACAGACTTTCTGTTTGGCCGTTATGTGACTCGAGCAATGGACTGGCTGCAAACAACGGACTCTCCATTCGGCAGTTACGTGAGGCTAACAACGGTCTTTCTGCGAACAAGTGCAAATGATGTTCCCACACTTTTGCCTTTGCCAATGACCATCTGCTATTTTTATAATATATTATTAGTATATCTGAAGTACTGAGCTCCCGTTGGGGTTCGGCTTGCTCCCTTGTTTATTACATACATCACCTCAGTGCAGGGTATTTACATTTATTCAAGTGTTGTGCAAATCATGGTTTCTAAAAAAACAGAAAGGTGATTTCAATTGAAACAAAGCAAGACATCATCAGAAGGAGTGAAAGTTGACAAAAACTTCCTTGTCAAATGAGGAGAGGTTCAGGAGTTTACCAACACTCATTATCCAAACAGAGCTGAGGGCCAACAGGATCAATGATCTCTACAATGACACCCTTGCCCGTCATTTCCAACAGGTGTTGAAGAAGAGAGAGAAACAGACCACCTTGGACAAGAAGCAAGCTGCCAAAAAACAAAGAATGGAACAAGAGGAGATGACCCTGCAAGCTCCGGTAGCCTTTCCTGAATCTGACTCTGATTAAAAACAATAAAAAGAGACCTGTTGCAATGTGTAAAAAGTCTGTATCTGTATGAATGTGTAAAGAAAGTGTTCC